ATTAATCAAGTTAGCTACAGCTACCAGTCCTTTTCTCGGTAAGTTCTTCAGCATTTTGTTGGTAATTCCATCTCTCCCAGGGGATTTCTTAGCTTTGATTCTTCTGATGATGGCTGCAACTTCTGCTGGCGAAGTTGGAGGGAGGTGGCTCTTCACTCCGAAGGTTCCTTACTGTCCTTTTGACAGTTGTTTCGTGGTGTGGGTCATTATTTGGGTGGTGGTTTACCCTGGCCTCTCTCTCGATTGCTTTCGCAAACGCCTCAGCTTTGCCGCCATCTGTGAATACCAAACCTTGAGTTCCGTGAAGAGCTGGTATCTTGGTACCTTCTCTTCGTAACTTTACCCAGTTCGTTGTGATTCTAGTCCTGCGCAGTGGTGTCCTTTCTTCGTCACCACAACACAGCAGGATTAGGTTGTGGTCGAACGTTCCTTCTTCTATAGCCTGGATGCTGACCGGTTGCCTCATGTTCTTGATTATGGCGATATCCAACACTTCAGGAGCTCCGGATCCTGTCGGGATGTTTGTCGGGGTCTCTGGGCCCAGGATTGCTCCACCCTGGGCATCTACTGCTTCTGCTAACAGTCGGCCTTTACTGCAGGTTCGGGTGCTATTCCACTCCGTGTTTTTGCATTTTAGGTCACCTATCAACAGCCTTGCTTAGTTTTGCCCTAACATAGTCTGGATGTCCTGCAGGTTCAGGGCTTCCTGGAGTGCTCTGTAAACAGAAGTAATAATTACTGGCCCTTTGGAAGTGTTAACTTGTACGCTGATGGCGTGTATGTCGGTGTCCTCTACTCCTATGCTGTGGTGGTCGATGTCCTTCCTAATTAAGAGGGCTACTCCTCCACGTTGGCTGCTGTCGTCGTGCCTGTAAACTTGATGATCTTGTATATTAATTTTAATACTACTTGCTAGTTTGGTTTTCTAGAGTGCTACCACTTCAGGACTCCTGCTGTTCAAAAACTCGTCCAGCTCTGGGCGGCGCGTCCTTAGCCCATTGACGTTCCAAGACGCCACAGTAAAACTGTTAGGCCGTTTAGGCATGGAGCCGGGACATTACCGCCTGGACAATGGCTTCTAAGGACTCCCTGTCCATTCCTGGGGAACTCCTCTTTGAGGTTGTTTTCCTGTCTTCCTTGCGGACGACTGGAATCTTCCTATTGGGGTGCTGGTAACGCAAGAAATGGAATTGAACCATTTCGGCTTGCGTCTTGCGTTGCGTTAGGGCTACTATGAATGCATACACTGCTATTCATTGATTTATTTTCTTACGTCTTACGTCTTGCGTTACGGCCACTATAAATCCAGCTTTACTCTACGATAAAATTTGAGAATAAATCAATTTCTTTTCTTTTGAAGAGGGTTTTCCAATACGAGCGACACTTTGCTGTGCCTTCTTCTTTTTGGGAAAGTCTCAATTGAGGTTCCATTAATTTATTGGCAGGTTCCTTTTCAGATTTTGCTTTTTCTACTAAGTTTTTGTTTAATAAAATTATATTGTTAACCCTCCGGCGGGCGCGTCAAATAATTTTCCATAAGCGGGCGCGTCGCGGCATTTACACCGCATTTCACTTTTTAGTTGTAAATCGTAACAGCGGGGAAAATTGGTAAAATATAAAACTGTTGTGC